ATATACCTGCAAAAGTTAACCTTTGTTGTACCCTGGGCCTACTGCCGGTCGGCTACATAAGAAATAGTTGTTATAAAATATGCTCAAGCCATTGCGGGCGTAACTTCTCAATGTGGAGAAAGAGCGGCTGTAAGCCAAGACTGCGACTGATTATTACATTTATGTAGAACACAAGAACAGGAGGGAACAAAATGCAGCCTTGACGGAAACCAGTGTGAACGTACAAAGGTTTCCACTTAATGCTATATACTTCGATGCAGCACCTTCCATTAACACATTGTAAGTGGATATTCCGCAGCAAATGGTGATCAATCCCACATGCTCGCAGGCAAGCACACTGAATGATGTGTTAGAACCGGCCATGTCTGTAAGGTCCAGGTATATGGACACCAGTGGAAAAACCCTGGATTACCATATAATGGTAGATAAATATGTCTGTGATCGAATTAATATTACGAGTAGCAACAAAATATTCCTGCAAACGTTAATGGAATCTTTGTGCTATCATTTCTGGAACTGACTATAATCCGTTAATATGTAAAAGGTATTTGCGGCTTTTTGCGCAGGTAGCATGCAGCTCCGATACAGTATACGGTTGAGGCATTGCTACAGATTTTATTCGTTCTGCATTTTCTGTTTTGTTTCAAGCCGTATTTGCTTTTGATTCTTTGGCACGTGTCATGCACTTCCGGCTTTTCATTCAAACAATAATCACGGCTTTCGGTCTTTTGCATTTGAGATAGTACATGATCCCTACGCATCGGACTTATCCTTGAAGGTGCCTCTGGTTCCAGTTAATCTTATTTGGTCGTTACAATATGTATTGTTTTAGTCCGCCAGCTATTTATTAGAGCTATCCATCAGATGAATGCAGCTTGAAATCAGGCGGTTTCTGCGTTTATTGCTTATCCTATTTCTTTTGCGTCTTCGTTTTGCACGTCATTTCTTCATAGTTTCCAACTGCTCTGTTTTCCACTAAATTATTTTTAATGATTTATTGTCTTTAAACTGTTAAGCAGCTTCTTTTGATGGAAAGAAAGAGTACAACTTAATTGCTTTACTTTCCGTAGAGCGTACATGGACAAACGGTATATACTTTTTGGCTCAGTTTATTGCTTAACACAGCCTAGTGTATTGCCGTATTGAATGAAACGCACAAAGGGGATTTTTTGGTAGCCTGTTAGCAGCAAACGCTGAACAGATGCTAACGAGCGAAAGAATTTCTGAACCCAACCCACATGTCTGTCTTAAAGAAGGCCGTGAAACACGGGCCAGAACTTCAGTACTGGTCAGTCATCCAACTGATCGTATTGTTTGCGTTGAAAATGCAGCGTAAAACTGTTTACTTTTCTACAACGCAGAAGGTGCTGTGGTCCGTCCGTTGACTATTAGTATATGTAAAGTGTTTAAGTAAACTGTTTTACGCTGCTTTTTCAGAATGACCACTAATTCACGAACGAATTACTTTGTATTGTCTACGTTGTGTATAGACAGGCAGTGTTTTATGCTGTTTTAAGTGTAATGAATGAAATAAGCTTTTTGGGTATATTTTTTTAATAAACATTCCGTCCTGTAATCACACGAATCTAGATGATTTGTCGCTTCTGTCACTGATTTTTATTAGAACCAGAAAGTAGCGGCTACTCTAGTGGCTACGGTGTGTCCTGCATTGTTAGAAGCTGACAGTATCTTGCCAGAGTCAACAAATAGACCTCATTTATAAAACAAATTCTTAAAAAAATACTTTTAACAGCCAAACGGAATGAAAAACAGTGGCTTTCATCTTTTATAAAAGTGCCGGTAGTACTAATTAATGTATGGGGTACATCTTCCGAAGAAGTTTCAAGCGGAACGAGACACTGGTTTGAACTTAAATGTACTAAACAGATTACGTATATATTTAGTTTACAGATGAAACTTATATAAATTAAATTTATGTGGGATAAACTTCTATGGATAATTTATACGTAGAACAGTATAATTTATTGCTCAAACTAAATCAGACTGACGAGTGCGCGGCCATTATCCAGTCCGGGTCAAGATCCGCAACGATATTGCACCTCGCGGTGGTAAACCACATGGAATAAATGATATGCTGGGCGTAGTTGTCACCACATTGGGATTACTGGTCTTTTGTAACCGAATCTGTAGTTAGGCCAAACGGAGTATCGCTGTTGTGTTATATGATACAATGACAAATATTTATCGTAAAAACAGATAATACAAGGTTTTGTACTGATGCGTTGATAGTGCACTAGCGGTAACCAAGCTGGGTTAATCTTCTACGTCTCTTTCTGTCTATTAATATTGCTGCTGGTTTGCTCCACCGTTACTAATATTTTCTTTTTTCTTCAGTTTTTTTTCGAAATATCTTGC